GGGACCCTGTAAGCTTTGGCATGCTCCGAGGCAGTATCGCCAGGAAGCTGAAGCGAATGTGGAGGCCTCCAAAACGGTTCTTGCTGCATTTTGACTTTTTTAGGAAGCCTCAGCAAGGAGTCTAGCAGAAGGTCAGTAAGAATTAGCCTGGGGTACGTCCTTGATGTGGGGCCTGCAATCATCCCCACCCGCCACGCAAATGTGCTTTGATTTTCAGGTTGCCATATTCAGCAGCTCCGGCGTCTTCCCGGTCATCGAGGTGCAAGATCTGTAATTATCCAATTCCCTGAAACATGAAGCCCTGATACACAGGTATGCCTGGGCTTCTATATGCCTACAGCTCCAGTCCTTGATCCTAAGCAGCATGTATTCAAGCTTGAGTCAGAGGCAGCTTTGAGCTGAGCTGTAGATCTTGTGCCTACAAGACATACTAGCCAGACGGTTCTGTGGCCAAGCAGCCATAGGCCTGAAGGCAAGCTGCTGGAAGCCAACAGCCAATCCTAGATCCGAAGCCCGAGATCCTCTTAACTTCAACCCTTCTACGCTAAGAACAAGCCCTCATACACCCTATCTAGTAGGATTGGAGCAAAGCATCGTAGTTCCCAGCAAAAGATGTGGGAAGCCAATGAGGCCCCTTTTGGCACTCTGGCTTCTAGGAGAGGTTTTGCAGCCCGAGCCCAACACTCTGGCCCGAGACGGAAATAATTAGATGCACCCCAAGTAGCACATTGACTACAACTTTGTCGTGCTGAAGTCTCGTTGAGCATGGTTCACTTTTTTTAAAAAAAAAAGACACGCGTCTGCTTCCTTTGGAACAAAATTAAATCCCATTGGAGGATCCCAGTGGGCTGGTCAAAGGCCTGCGGCCGTTTACGCAGAGCGTTTGGGTCAAGGACCTCCCGACGACTTCAGTGATTCAGGGTGTTCTCAGAATGTCTTCAGGCCAAGAATCGCTGGGATCTAGCCTCTGGGTTTGATGCTGCGGCGCTGGTTGTCAACAGTTGTTCTGCAAGTTCCCCTTGCCACCATATCATGATCCCCAGAAAAACTAGTACTTTCGACATTCTCATTTACGCCTTGATCTGCCCAAGGGCCTCGACTACAAGTTAATCCAACCACAGGAACGGCGAATTGAGAGCACTGTTTTCTTTGAATGGCTTGGACATGCCAGCCAGTAGCAATGCGCTCAAGAGCTTATATGCGTTTGTAGAGCACGGAGTTAAACGTTTCCCAGCAATCCTGCAGCCAGGACAAGGTGTACATGCGCCCCATCGTGCATGAAGGACTTCTTTCGCGTGCTGTTGAGGTTTGGGGTTTGTTCCGCTTGGATTCTGTCTCAAACTCTCTCTGTTTGACCCTCTCTTTCTCTCTCTGCGGGGCTCTGCTTCGCGGCAGGGATGTTACGAAGCGGACGCAGCTTGTAAGAATCAGGCCCTTCTGAGTCTGCTCCTGTATCTAGGGTACAGCACAATACGGAAGGTTTTCATACGCCGTCCAGCAAGCACTGTCGGGGCTCGTAGTCGTGGTGTATGTTCGCACTTTGTGCCGCAACTTACTATGTCGCGCTTGTTGTGCAGGCTTACAAGGGCAACTTTGTTGCTGAAATGTGATTGAATACGCTATCGAATACGCTTAATTATGAATGATTATGCAGCCTATCACTCGCACATACCCGCAGCTCGTGTATACGTAGCAGTTTCTCAAAATGATTTATCCACGGTCCTCCGTGGGATCCCTAGGCTGCCAGAAGACCCCGCAGATGTAGGGACGTTCCCATATGTAGAAAGTCGCATATCTGAAGCCCAGGTGCATGGGACCAGATGTGGCCAAGTTTCGGGTCGATCGACACAGGCGAGTAGGGTAAATGGTCATGGGGACTACATGGCGGATTTTACAGGGACTAGGACTCAGCACCGGGTAGCTAGTGTGGGCCAAGCTGGGTGGAAGGGGTGGCATTTTGAGTGTGTTTGTTTGTTGATGCGGTGTATGTGGAGGCTTTGGAGTCATACTTCTCAGCCTGCTAGGTAAGGCAAAGTAAACATGCAAAGGCATCTATGAATCTGTAAACCCAAAAATCTCCCGTTGGAATTAAATGAAGCTGGCCAGACAATGACGTCGATGACGTTACTTCCAGCAGTACTTGCAACAATAGCCTGATGTCCGAAAGCACCCATGAACCACTACCTCTTCATGCGTCCGCTTTGTCCTTAATTCAGCTGGCAGGCTCTTGTGCTCGTTCTGGTCCTTGTGCGTGCCAGCGGGGCAGGACGCTCGCATCGCCAAACGCCATGTTTGAACTTCAAAGCCGCCACATTCAAGGCTATCCTGTTTAAGGAGCTACGGAAAATTTGAACAGCCTTATCAGAGAGTGGCAGAGAGTGGTCTCATGTTCTTTCTTCCGAAATCTAGAAAAGGTTGCCGTCTTGTTCAGAGTATACTTGTGGATTGTCCTAGCTACAGGCAGGTGCAACTACGTCACTACGTGTCGGGCAAATACCTGCGCAAAGCTGATATACAGTTGCACTACCAGTGGATCATGCTTTGGACATACCAAGGCTCCCTCTCCCTCACACACGCACACAAGCGAGCCCCTACAGCTTCACGAGGCCTAGGTGCATACAGGGCCCCATCGATTGTAGACGGTCGAAAAGCACACAGCTCTCAAGTTTTGCCGATTTAGAAAACCAGGCCCAACCCCCAGGCCAAAAAGCCGCGTGGAAAATCTCGGGTTGAAAGCATGGCCCCCTGGTATGGGGCCCTTAATCTTGGTTTTCAAAGCCACTTAAGGGCCCATGGTCAGGATCCGGACACGTAGGGGCCCATGGTTAGGACCTTAAACACTTCTAAACGCTTTGCACCAAAGCTTCCTCACAAAGCTTCGTTTGATGCGTGACTGACTCCATGATGTGCATCTTGCAGCTGCAGAATATCCAGGGGGTTAACACACGGAACCTGCACCAAGATACGTACGAACCCCTGAGCCGCTAGCCCTGGGCCCCGTCAATTATCCTGCCCACTTGCAATCGACAGCCAGCACAAAATCTCCAGTCAAACCTTGCACGCATGTCCTATTCGGACAATGAGACAGCAAGCTAGAAAGATCAAAGATTGCAGGGCGGCTATATTCACCCGGCTCCCAGTCTCAAACCCCAAATCTCCAACTGAAAGCCTGGCTTTAACACATAGCATTTCCATCCAATGGCTGCTTGCATACACACGGGCACTCCGAACCAGAAAGCTCTAAGCGTCGACTTGATTTTCAAGGCGGGCTACGCTTGTGAAAGCTTTGCCATGTCTGAGAATGGATATCACATGCCCACATGATGGTCCTGCTTATAAGTTTGTCGAGCACATACTTTCATAAAGGCACGCTTGAACGCCCAACATGTGTTGCATTTTGCTTTGTTTCCAGGGTCTAGTGTGCGCGTTTCCAACTTGATTGAGTGCTAACTTCGAAAATATTCCGAAGGATAATTGCAACTTGGCACTTGGAAAGAAGCTGCACTTGGCTTGCTGTTGGACTGCGGCTACGAGATAGTGGCAATTGCCGTGGGCTCGTAAGCCGCCGCGCCCTGAAGTCAGAACCTACAAGCAGCGTGAGTCCTTCTCGACCCAGCGCACAGAGAAGCTTTTTTTTGGCAACCTGCAACCCTCAAATGCAAATCCCGTAGATCCGCTTACCAATCTGCAATGCCCGAAGCCTTGAGGCAAAGCCTTGAGCGTTGGTGGTGAATGGCTTTACAGCCCTAGGGCTGGGAGTTTGGGGGCAAGCCACTTTAGCCCCGCTGCGCTTCCCTTCAAACCATCCTGTGGCACAGAATGATAGCCCATTTCACTCATGGACCCCCAGCGCTGCATGCTTGAAGATCGCGTCCTGAGCCCCGCGTCGTATCCATGGCAGACGGGGATGGGTCGCTTTGGCTGCATTTGCGCAGTGAATCTGTTATGATCCCAAACCATGATACAATCGAGCTTACAAACACGAAGAAGTCATGTGATAAACAATCGGAATTTCAGGGGTCGTTCCGGGCTTTGGGGGGTTCATGTCACGATCTTGAAGTCCGCAGCTTTGCATGGGGTTCAATCAGCATGGGTTCAATCAGCATGTTGTCCGCAGGCGAACTAAGATGCTGCAGGCTGGCAGCAGGGGGATGTTCTTCTACGTCCCGAACTGTGATGTGGCTGTATTTTTATCATCTTCTGTCCGCAGCCAATTTTTTTTCATACCAAAAGCCGTCGTTTGCAGCATAGACTGCTCTGACCTCCAACGTGTGTAAGGGTGCGGTTTTCACATGGCTTCAAAACGTGTAGAGCCTACACTTCCAAGTCTGTGATCAAGAATGGAGAACATGCTGGGAGTCGTATCAAACTTCGTGTTCATCTTGGATGCCCTTGGCAGGGGCCTTGCTACGAGGCAATCCGTATTCATTGCTGATATTCAGAAACATACAAATTTTGCTGGAAAGTTCCGGCAGGTCGAGCTGCATGAACAAAACAATGCACATGTTCAAGACACAGCCCGTGACACGGGAACTGTCACACGTAATCAGTGGCGGAAGTTGTGGACTCTCAACCTTCAAGCCCCACCCCCCAATCCTGCGCTTCAAGTAGAACCTCCACAATCCAACATCTTAGCCCAAGATATGGCGACGGCGAGTTCAATGACTCCAACACTACAACGCTGGAGGCAACGGGGAATAAGGCTTTGAAATATCAGGGCGTTCAGAAGATGACCTTGGTTGTGGGCTCTGGCTTCGGGTCTGGCGTTGAAGGCAGGAGCTCCCTCAGTAGATCTCTGGTTGAGAGGAAGAGAGGCGCCCTTCACATGGGGCGTTTAGCCGTTTAGCCTGCAATCCTTAACCTATTGCATCCCACATCTGCATCCCCCTGCAATTGATCCAGCCCGCATTCCGTTTTACAAGCATGGAGAGAGCATTCATCAGCTCAGCGGACAACATCTTCCCCAACACAGCTGAACCACAGTTCCTATAAAGATTCAGGACACCCGCGCCAAAGACTTGTTCACGACGATCACAACACGTGATGGCTTTGTTGCGGCAAACTGGGAAGAGTCACAGACGCAGCTTGCCCGTGGGGAGGTTGCAGCAGTTCAGTTTTGTTGCATTGGTAGCTTCGCGGATGCGAACAAGATGCATGTTGCCGTTTGGCGGCCTAGCTAGTCAGCACATGCTTGACTGTGAGATTATGTCTGCCAAATTGTCAGTAGAACGGGTTGACGTCTCCTTTGCCCGGCCCGCAAGAAGACTCAGCGGTGCAGGTTTAGTGTGTGTGACTGGGTGCCGGCCTAAGGCACGCAGCTAGTTGCCTGGGCATGCCCGTCTAAACAAATACTGCCTATAACAGGGCTACCCCATCATACAGTATCTGAATTTTCCAAACAAAGGTGAGTGGGCCGGTGCATTCAGAAGGTCTTCACGAGATCCCTTTCTCAAGTCAAACATGCCAACAAAAGTCGCGTGGGGCAATTTTCTAACCGAAGCCCAGAATTTTTGCCTATGAAAGAGCCACCCAGTTCAAACCCTCACAGCCTCGGCCCGCATCCGCTAAGCACCGCTTTGGATGAAACTTAACAATCTGAAAAGTCTGTACAAGCCATAAATCCAGCTAGGCATCTGTTGCTCTTCCTCGGGCTGTGGGCGGGCCTCCTGCTGATGAGTCTTACCATGGGCTCCCCGGCTGGTGGGTCCAACGTGGGTTCCTTATTTCATTGGAACACGGTCGCCTATGCCCATTCTGAAGGGTTTTGTAGGTTATTTCTGGTTCAGCATATCACCATGTTAGTTTGTCAGACTTCATCCTACGAGTGTTGTAGTGGCTTATGCCTTCCAACGATTTGGTAGTAGATTCTGTTTGTAGTAAAAGTCTGTTTGTGTAGCATATGCTTTTGAACGAGTCCAAAGGAGCGTTAGGCACATTCAACCGCTCGCGCTGCTCGTGAAGGGTTGTTTTTGCATGGGATCATGCAGTATTTTGTTGGGCCTTGGGCCTACTTGGATTATACATCCGCCTGCGGTGGACACCTTGTAATTTCTTGAAGCTTCCCGCCTCAAGATCCAGAATAGCATATCTCCAAAAGTTCAAAGCATCTATCAAGTTTTCATGTTGAACCCGAGACTCACGCTCGTATCGCGAAGAGGATGGCGAGGCTGAAGTTCAAAGCATACCAAGACAAGAGCACTTCCCCTGTCAACCAGAACGCCCAAGGTTGACGATACATAATTTCACGGCTTGAGTCCTGTCATCTGTCACAGATGAAGTGCAAGCCGTGCTGAGGAATTACCAGAAGGATCTGGTCTCCCGACTCCCTCAACAAACAGCTGGGTCTTCAGACTCTCGGACCTTGTTCTTTCCCAGACTCGACTTGGTTGGCGCTCAAAGATTTGAGTCTAGGACCTTGCGGTCTTGAGGCTGTAAGGTAAGGCTTGCTGCTTACGTGGAGAGTGCAGGGCTTTCAGGGTCCAGGATTTCCTTGCTCCTACCATATCTGAATCTGTGAGACACGACGTTCTGTGCGCCAGACTCAACGCACCTCACGTGCAAAACACCTATAGTTTCCGGGTATTTTTTATGGACATTGGAGATTTTCATCCCGGACCGTTGAGTGTAGTTTGGCACATAAAGCAGCGCACTTGGAGCGGGCGGCAGTGCCAATGGTTGCATGGCCAGGTTTTTGGGGGTCGTACCGTCCCCGGCCAGAATGCTCACAGAGAGTGACCAGAACTAGTAACTAGAACACCTCGTCGTCAGAGATGGTAGCGGAAACGAAAAACACCAGCCAAAGCCATAATGCGATATGATATTAGTCGCATCATGGCATCAGCAATGCTTGCAACAGCATGAACGATGGCAAGGTGGATGATAGTCGCTCTCCCCTTAAGTTTAAGGGAGGGTCATGCAGCACCATACCTTGCAAACAGCAGAGACCAGGATCGCCGTGCTGAAGCATAGCGTGTACTGGAATATCTTCATGTTTTTGCTGCTGCCGCTTGGATGCATCAGGGGTTGGCTGCAGCAGGCACAAGAACAACCCTGTGCAATGAAGTCTCTTGGCACCAGATCCAAGAAGCACCCACGAAGACTGTACCAAGGCTGTCTTTGGTTGTCCTCTACGTGCTGAGGTCGGAGAAGGCTGGTCTGCGCAGGGGTGGGGATGCGAGATAAGTGATGACAAACAAGATGGCAACAGCATTTCAAACTAGCAAAAGTAGCAGGGGAAATAGCGTTTGGAACAACTGACGTTGTGCACTGGTGGCAGAAGCCACAGCAACATGAGAACGTTTATCGCGTGGATTTCAAACAAGCTGGATAGCTGGCTTGCATGCTTGTGGAGGTCATAAGTTAGCGTGAAGTCCGTAATTGCTATTGTCATCCTTGCTAGCTTTGCTTTCTCACCATGGCACAATGAGCAGTATTGTTTTCACTCGTGCCATGTGATGGCTATGGGATTTCGTGCTGCGTGCCGGCTGCCATCTGCTACCACATGTTTCCTTGCCAAGTTTGATGGCTTACGGCGGTAGGGTTGAAGTGAGCCTCTCTTGTACAAACATATGATTATGTGGTGCTCGCAGTTGCTTCCAAGTCCAATGATTTGTTGACAAGGGTCGAGGAATTTGCATTGGCAGACTCAACATGCAACCACCAAACAAGAGTAATAGTCTACTCGATTTTGGGCTGGCTGCACAGGTACAGCTGGACGAGAACTTGATACTTGGCAAGAAATGGACATGATGATGCCAAAGCCTTGCAAGCAAGAATGTCGGAAAACTTTGTCTGCTCTCCAGAATTTCTTCCTGTTCGGATTACTTTCGGGAGCTAATGCTGTTTACATGTGACGCCAGTTCATTCCGATGGTGCTCCAAGGCAATTTGCCAACCAAAAGTGGCACTGAGCTAGTAGCTTTCCAACGCTTGGTGAGACAAGCTGAAGTATGCTTCAACATTTGCGCAGGCAACCTTGCGAGGTGCATGTGGTATCCATTATTAGCTGCTAAGCTGAAGCTCGCAGAATACCCAGCTGATCCATTGCGTAAATTCATGCTTGCCAGCCTGACCTGAGGACATTCTTGGAGATTACTGCAGTCTCCTTCTATGCGATTGAGGCTTCCGTGTAGGTCTGAAATCCAGAGTGGATCCGATTTCCTTATAACCTGGCACCTTGCAGTAGTTCTTCCAGGGCAATGGATGGTCAAGTTCAGAAACCGTGTGACTCGCTTGATCTCAGCCTTCCCAGAATCTAGCAGTAAGTGGAAGCTTTCGCATGATAGGCACCGTCCAACAGCCTTCAAAATGAGAACTGTATACGAGCTTCGGCAGTTGTTCTCCCCACGCTCCCTGAAGAAGATGGTCTCGACGCTAGCTTGAAAAGTCCTTCTCTTCACCAAGCCCGTACTCGTGGGCTCCATGCTTGTGCCAAGCCTGTCGCTGCAGCCTTTCTGGACATATTCTCCTACGTGCCGCCTGTTCTGGGCAGTGCAATGTTCCTGCTTTCAGTTTACCTCAGATGCTGTCTTTCGAAGCAGAGGTCCCTTAGATCTTCCTTCAAAACATGAGATCGACTGGGACACCCCATATAAGCAACATTTCGAAACATTCATCCACTGCGATAAAAACCTCTGTCTACCGCGGCTGGAATCTTCGGTGCGCAAGACTGGGCTCCGAAGGATCAGCGTCATTTCACTTTGTTAGGACTGTCCCCCCTCCCCCACCCACGACAGGGATTTCAGCATCTTATTTCGGACATGTGCATGATAAACGGGCCTCTGAGAACTAGCCCAGGAGGACAGCACTGTTTCAGCCCTCGTTCAAATCCTTCCGCCCGGGGGGATCCACAAAGCCCGCCTGGCGGCCTAGCGAATGGACATCCTCTGTTCACAGCAGTGCTGGAGGCTCATGGGCGTTTAGAGACATCAGAAAGACAGGTTCTAAAGAATTCTAACCGTAGCTACCCCAGCTAGACAGCTAGAGCTAGGCATGAACCTCGCAATGAAATACAAATTCAACAAGAACGCCGGAGTTTCAAGGACCAAAACATTTCAGAAGTTTGCTGGCCTCTGCTCATGAACAACAGATTTAGAGTCGAGAGATCCTGGCCCCTGCTTCATGTGAGCGAGCTTCGAAACTCGCGTTATGGGAAGCAAGTAACGGTTGGACACGGAATACGAAAAGGCTGTAAAGTGATGGGGAAGCCTGAAAAGCGACACCCTGCAATCCAAAAGTCATTGCGCTGCACTTTGAAATTAGCCGACATGTAAAGCGACACCTCACTTTAATATTTGCAACATCTATGCCGACAAAACCCTGTAAAGCGACGGGGAACCCTGTGAGGCGACACTCCTCATGAGGCGTCCATTACCTTAGACCAGGAGTTTAGACGGGCGCTCATGTAAGCCTTAGAAGCCTCCGACAGCCCTGGGTTTGCGACAGCCCTGGGTTTGAGGCCTTCATCAATTGGTTCTACTACTCGAGTGGGGGCCTGGATGGCATCATCAGGTTCTTCTGGAGCTACTCATCCAATTTCTGGCACATCTATGCTCAGTGGGTTGTTGAGATTCGGACTTCGGCTCTGGAGGCAGAAAGACGGCATTAGGATCTCACCTGATCATGTTGGTCTGGGGATGAGCAGGGATCAGGGTCCCCGTTTACGTCTAGATGATGCTAGATGCACAGGCTCTGGTAAGCTCAATTCGCCAGCCGGACCTGTCAAGCCTCACGAATCCATTCACGCTACACAGCGGACCCTGAGCCTCGAGCCTCGGTCCGCTATGAGCCTGTACTCCGTTGGCAATGAAGCAAAGCAGCCTACGAGCTCCGAAGCAAAGTAATCAGGGATCCCACAGTTGAGGTTTGGAGTCAGGCCCGCGAAAACCTTGGGACCCGAGCCTTCTGTTTTCAAGGTTTGAGGCCTGCTGGATGCAAGCGCTACAGCTACAATATCCAACGAAGACAGCTATAGCAGGTATCAAGGTTGCCTTATCCATGGTCTGAGGGACGGAATTCCGCGATGTCGGCAGTTTTTTCGGTGTAAGACGGCTCCCTGTTTGAACCTGCACCTTCATGTCGTGTCTGCTGAGATTACATGATGGTGGTGTGCCTGGTCATCCCTTCCGTTCTCTACCGCAGTCTGTCCGGACCTTGCTTATAGCAAAGCGTTCTCACAGGCATTCAGGGTTGGCATAGTGGATGTTTGTAATTTGTAACGTTAGATACTTCGAGGTATAAGTAGAAAGGTTCGGCGCATTTCTAGAGCATGTTAGCGTGGGAAAGGAGGCTTGACAAGTTCAAGTCTTGGCCAGGATGTTCCTGTTCCTGTACGTGCTCCGGATAGCTTGTGGCATGGTTCTTGTGGAGACGGCTCCCTGCGAAAGTTATTGTTGAGGAGAGTAGGGAAGGCATCGATGCAGGTTACTCAAAGATATCAGCTGGTCTTCATGACACCCTGCATCAGTAGCCGTGCACAGAACTCAAAAGTCTGTTGCAGGATTGAAGGAGGCCCCAAAGGCACGACACCCTGAAGTTGTCCCACCCCCCAAACTCTTTACTGCAAACTCCAACCTCTGTAAGCCAGAAGCCAATGGCAGGACAGCGGTCTCACTTTTCCTTCGCCTTTTGTGCCTCTATCCGAGCCTCCCAGATCTACAAGGAATGGGTGACTTTCCACAGAAGAGGGTCGCTTTGCTGGCAGCTGGTTGGGGAATCAATGCGAGGTAGCCTATAGGGATCATGGAGGTTTGAGAGAGTTCTGGGCTGTCTCGAAGTGTTGTGGGCTTATGGAGCACAGTATCTGTAGATTGCAAGCTAGAAGACCCTTACACAGGTCAGCATCTCGCCTCACGGGCACACCATTTTCTGTTCTTGGACAGGATTTGTTGGGCTGAAAATGTCAATGTTATTCTGGGGTCCAGGTTGGGGTTGCAAGGCTCTGCAAAAGAGCACAAAGCTACAGGGTTGGGGCTAGTGGACTTTCAGGACGTATGTCAACACATCAAAGTCGTGAACTCCCGAATATACACTCAAGGCATTTCGAAACCCCCTGCCGCAGCGTCCGGGACCCAACACCATGAATCCCAGGCGGATAAAGTTTTCCGACCACATCAGCATGTATGCTGGCACCTTCTTTGCTGGTGCCTTCTCGATGCTTGTCATAAGCATGCTATTAATATATGGGGCTAAGGTTGCAGGGCTTGGGGTTTGCAAGGGGTTTAGGGAAAGGGCCTATAGAGTGTGGGCATGTCAGAGCTGCCGGCCATTGTGCAATTTCTCTCGGGATGGTTTTCTACGTTTAGCTTCTGAAAGCAGGTCAGGGGCTCCATGCTGCTTGAGACCAAAGAACACGAAAACTAGCACACAGCATCTAAAGCCGAGGCCTTAAGCAGGAAATCCAAACATTCCATGCACAAAGTGATCTATCTGGGTGCTACGAACGGGGTTTTGTGAGGTGGTGCTAGCTTCTCTGCTATTATTCACCTCATTTATCAAGAAAGCCGTTTGCTTCATTGGGGAGATTTGTACACGCTATGAAGCCGAACGTAGCGAGGCCACATGGAGGTTGAAGCTCCCAGCGATTCAGAACTCGCGCGCCCCATCTTGCCCAGCACACAACAAACAAGACATCAAGACCCTCACGCATTCGTGCATCAAACCAACGCTAGCAGTGGTCTCCAAAGTCCCAAGTACATGCCCTGCATCTGCTATGATACCCAGGATCGGAATGCTTATCCGAGAGCTGGAAAGCTTGGCTCCTGGGCAATCAAGTTTCAAGCGCCATCTGCCGTCTTCTGTGTTTTCAAAGCCCCTACTCCAGGTATTTTGGACTTGTACAGAAGTGGAAGTTTCTGCATTCAGCCGCCTGCAAAGCCCCAGGATGGTGTGGATCCCAACTTCATGAATGGCAGCGAGCCACCTGATGGGATCAACGGCACTGCCTACGAACGCTGGTCTCTCTTTGCCCCTTGGCGCTCCTTTACTTTCCGGTCAGCTTTTGCAGAAAAGTTTGGCTTGGAAAGTCTTGGGCTGTGTGGACTGTTGGTTGGTAGCATGCTTTGAGGCTCACTAAGGCACGACAGGAACTCTTGTGCACAGGACTTGGATCTTGGTGGTGATTACCATCTGTAGTGGGTCTACCATGAGCACTAAACCCCGTCGATCCAGTTTCCTCAGCCCCAAACCCTAGCCTGAAGCCTTGAACCCTGTACCTTGCTGATGCGAAGGCCTCCTTCTACATGATGAGTCTTGGCAGAGCCATTATAAGTTGCTGTCTAGTGATTGGTGCCCATCCCGCATTGGGGCGTTGCAGTATGGGGTTACTTGAGCTGGCTCCGAAAGGTTGGGGGATGATGGAGTGAAGGAGTTCACAAGTGCAGCTGTGCGTATGGTTCAAGGTCTTCCAAAACCACGGGAAACTTGCCCATGCACCGGCGCAAGTGCTGCCGGCCTGGAAGCCCATAGGTCCTCCATGCTCCCTTTCTAGTTATGAGGAATAGGAATTTCCCACCAGAATCTTAGTAGGTGTACATTGCTGCAAAACCCACGAGAAGCCGAGGCACAGCCCCCAAAATCTGAGGTTGATCCACACTTCCAAGGTTGGCTTTGGCGATCTCAACCCTCGTGCCTGGCTCCAGACAAGTTCCATGTTTGACTTGTGCAAATCTAATCTGCGAAGCTCACAATTGCCCTGTAGTGTGGTAGTGTTCTCTGCTGCTCTGCCTGCTCTGTTGTTGAGACATTGTATTCATCGGAAGCTGGCGACTTGCACAAACCTATGGTACCACACTGTCCGCCCTTCCAAGGCACAAGTGGGAAAAAACCTTCGTCACAGCTGCCCCAATCAAAACAAAGTCAAGGCACCGAAGCCCTTCTACCAGCAATCCTTTTTGTCGGGACTGTTGCTCGTGCCTGGTTTTTGCTAATGGTCGTAGAGCATTCTCTTAATTGGTTCATGCTGTTGATCTGACGTTGCAAAAACTTATCACCCATTGCCAGAACGTCCGAAGGTAGATTGTGAGGTTCTTGGTATTTAGATCTACGGTCAAGCCTGACGGGCTCTGCAGAAAAAATGTCATGCTGTACGCTCAGCGAACCTGATATGCTGCTTCCAGCGATCACCCCAAGGTTTTTATTCAAAAGAGTTTGAATTGTAGTGGGATTGGGCTGATAGCATTCTTATCCTATAGGCCCTCTGCTCTTGTGTTGAGGGCTAGCGCTTCCTGAGTTTTCGGGCCTCCCGAGAAGGGCAGGGAATGAGGCTTCTCCACTCGAGCTCTCTAATCCTTGCATATTCCAATGGAAGTGCCCCCGCTACAATACTCATCTTGGCTACCAAAGCAATTCCCACGACGTCTGGTCCAATCTCAAACCTTCTTGGCAATTAGGCAACCCAGCAGCGCAATTCTTTTCGCTTGTCGGCACCTGCTCCTGCGTGCAACCTGACCATTTGGGGTCATGATGATGGGGGCCTTTCGGTTTAGAACGTCCTCAGCGTCAAGTCGGGCCATAGTAGTGGGATGCATGAGCAGCAAGCCACTAGTCCGATACCATCTGATGAGCATCTGATGTGTTTCCTATGTACAAGAATCAGTGACTTGCTATCCACATGCGGACATGGCCATCCTAGATTCCAATGATCGGCCTCTGTAGCTCCTAGGTGACACCCCATGGCACAAGCAATTTCTATTTTGTATGCTAGCAAACAATCCGCAAGGAACCGTGGCCCATCATACCTAGGTATCATACCCCGTACTGATCACTAGGTGCAGTTGAGGATATTGCATTTCAGTGGGTGCCTTTTTTTACTTTTGTGGGTGATTGTCACAAGCCTATGAACAGACGTCTACGGCATGGAAAGGGCGTGGGCGTCCTTCGGGGGAACTTTTTGAGGCTTTGGCCATCCACGAATCATGTTTCAACTGGGTTGCTGTTAAAGAACTTAAATAAAGTTACCATAATGGGTATATATAAGGATAATGGAAAAGAAAATGGAAACTACTATAATGCGGTTATATAGGGTTTAGGGNNCTTAACAGCAACCCAGTCAAGGGCTTCTGGCTCGGCGAAGGTACTTGATGGCTACGGTGCTGCTCAAAGTGCTGAAGCTCAACGCATCCCGAATGCACCTATGGCTTCGCAACCCCAGTAGTTGCAAGATTTACAGAAAACATATAGTAACGTAACTATGTGAAACTTTCACGGTCGACCGCGGTGACCGCCCTCAACCCTAAAATATGCCCTATTCTAGTATGGTAGCTTCCATTTTCTTTTTCCATTATCTCAATATAACCCCGATGGGTCCAAGAAGGGTCTTTATTCAGGGAAATCAGTTGCAATGGGCAGATGAAACACCTTCCTGGGGAGAGATAGCCGATTGAGCTCCAAACGAGAGCCATGGAGTCCCTTGCATGTCCAGCAGCTCATCGATTCCTAGACCAAGCCCACACAGATTTGTTTATCCTTGACATTGGGAGGTTTCAGGGCCGGCTCCTCCTGCTTTAGAAGCTTGCTACCCAGGCCCCGAGGAATAACCCAAGATTTTGCATCATATGGGAGTTCGGTAAACTTTCTTGTCTAGAATGCCAGCGAGCACCCTAAGCGCTTGATCTCTGAAGCTCTTCTGTAAACTTGGGCACTGAGTCGTTACTGTTTTGAAAGGAAGCCGGTGGGCTCTCGCGCCCGAAGTATCCGAACCGAGCTGGCTACAGGCAGCCTCCCTTGCTTGGCGTTAGCTCTGTGGATAGTTTCCTGTTTCATTGCTACCCTCTTTTGCAGGTAATTACTGTCCTCGCGGTTATTCTGGTTGTATTTGCCATGTGAGTTTGGGAAGGCTGTGGGACGGACATCTGGTACAGGGTGCAGTGTGGATGGATGGACCGAGCTATGGACTCAAGGATTTTGCATTTGTGCGTTGGGGATTTCTGGCTTCAATACTCCTGTTCCGCGGTGGTTAGTAGTGTGGAGGATTGGGGATCCAGCTTTGAGTGCTCGGACGTTTCTCGTTCCTGGCTGTCCAGTTTGTTTTGAGAGCGCGGTCAGGGTTTACTGTATGGCATGATTCAGAAAGTCTAGCAAGGACATCAGTAGCCGGGACATCGGGGTTCTGCAACTGGATCCACAAATTGTGATTGTGAGCAGGCACATCGTCATCACTGGCTCTGCCTCACTTCAAGTCTACTTGGACTTTCTGCATGAGTGACTGTACTGCAAAGTGGTGCTGCAGTCCTTGCACTTGAGTTTTCGGTGGAGGGTGTTCGTGGCCGAGAGGATGGTTTGGGCTACGGGCTTCAGGTTGTCGGCCTGGCGTTACGTAAGCTTTCCTCTGTGATGCTTTTCGCCAGATTGCGGTTAATTCCTTCTAGGTCATTGCTTGCAATCAGGCGTTATGAATAACGCTGGCATGGTGACGAGAGGTTCTTCCACACCGACAACGCGTCAGAAACTGACGATGTCGATGTCGTGATCTTGTCTCCTGGCTGTGCATGGCTTTCTGGGTTCCATGGGGGTGCAGAGGATAAGGCTATTCGTCAAGGCAACTTGCTTTGCTTGGCTAAAGGTCTTCGGTCCGGTGACCTGACCCTCAAAACCAACGGGGCAAAATCAAATCAGCAAACTCCACCCTATAGTAGCTGTCAAAATCGAATAGCCAAAGCCGCGCCAGCAGGCAGCAGACGTAAAAGTCCCATACATCTGAGGGGTTGAAAAGAAACTCTACCCTAAACCCTACCCTAGACAAGTTGCAGTCTGCTCAACTAACTGTGAAAAGTACGAGAGCATCGCTTATGAGCACCCAAAGTGGAGCCCCCAAAAGAAGCTTACAGCCACAAAGCTCAGGCATCTGCACGGCCAGCGAAATGTTATGCAACAGCTCAGCTCGACTTTGGGCCACCCAGCTGCAATCAGTCTTGCCGCTTAGTTTCTCGAAAACTGCTTGGACTTCTGGGATTTCCGTGCATGCGAAGCTTCTATTCGGATGCTGACACTGCCACTCATGGGCACCGACAGCATGCTGCGCAATCGGTAGACCCATTAGCATTGGCCGTAGCCGACTTTGCAATATCTGGTTGCAAGATCTGATTCCAAAGCTCCGGACCTCTAGACCACACACCACAACCAAGGGGCGTTGAAGCCCGAAGCCTTAAAGCCATCGTCAGGTACTGGTGAGAGCGAAGACCTGCGCATCCTCAGGAAAATCTGGATGGTTGAAGGCTCTGCTCTGTGCCTCGGATCATGAACTCACGCTTCTTGTGTCTCAAACTCCTAACTAATGGAGTTCAAATTTTATGCTTGTCAATTCAGTTCGCACGGGATTCCGCCATTGGAGCAGGAATGTCCAGGATGGCAACGTTTAAGACTTCCTGCTGTAGAGCAAGCGATTAGCAGCCCGTTTTCATATGCATGCGCAGGAAGGTTGCTAGCGCCTAGTTACTGAGCTACTGATAGCTATCGTATCCATGGTTTCTTGCTTTTGGGCCTTTCACGAAGCTCAGTCTGCAACACCCCCCTTGCAGCCCCCGCACCTCGAACATTGATCAGCAAGAGCCGAAATAAGATGAACCCAGGATGAGGGATAGCAAGCCACGCCTCCTACGCTCAAGACCACGTACCATGCAAATATGAAAGCACGAACCACTCTTCCCCTTCCTCACATGATGCCTCAACATCCAAGACGCAGTCCCCGCACTCCTTTTCACAAAGGAGAAGAAAAGATTGTAACAAACAGGGCGTACGCCTTAAAAAAACATTGCTAAGAAACTATTTAACACTATGGAGGCAAACGTGAACCTTGAAACTCACACTTCTACCAGAGCCCAAGCCCTGAAGCGCTGGTTTTGGACACTCCTATCCTCAAAATTGGTACGCCAAACTCAGACAAGCCGCGCATTCGCAATTCGCAGTCACTAAGTACCACGTCAAATAAGTACTTGGACACGATTGGACATGCAAAGCCGGCTGATCCCGATTCCATCCTGCTTAAAAATTCGCATTCACAAGTGCAAAAAAAAAACTTCACCCGGTTTGCGAGCCTTCATAGGTGGGGGTGTTGTCGCGGGACTGCCACTCCAGATCTATTGTCACTAGTACTAGTACTCAGGTGATTGGACCTATCTTTTGAAGTTTTCCGTGTTTGCCAGTACGAACTGCAGGAAAGCGGAGGACTTGGACCGCGTCCGCTTCTCCTCCGCCTCGGCTGCTTTTCTCCTGCCTAACCTGTGACCCGCCTTGTAGTCTTACGTTGAGTTTGGGCCACTTGTCTCCTTGGAATCACACTGGCTACCTGAAGAGTAGAACGGGACAATGTGAACTTGAGAGAGACCTAGTATCCCCGTACAAACCTTGCCGAAGGCATCCAAAGACCGTATAGCCCAATCCTCAGAGATCCATGTCGGGGCCGTAGCAGTCTTTTGGAGCATGCTCCGCGGATATTGGCTTTGTCTTCGATTAAGATGATGCCGGAACATCAGTGTTACTGTGTGTCTGGTTTTTGCATGGCCAGTGCTGGTGACAACGAGAATGAAACTGGAACTGATGGTGATGCAACAAGCAGTACCAAAACATGTTACAGGCCAAGTACAGTAGCCTTTGCTTGAGATGGGTCCTGTGGGCCCATCCAGTTCTAGCAGGAAAGTGTTTCGGCAGCCACGAAAGTGCATAAGAGACGCATTGTTGTTTGATGTTTGCTTCTCCTGCTTCCAGTCACTTTAGTCGCAGGCTTGTCTTGCCAACACCTGACACCCTCGCCTGCACTGTTGCTCTGCAAATTGATGTCCGCATAGTTCATAATTGTCTAAACCAGGTACGGGACCGACCCCGAGAAGGAAGATGTGGGCAACGTCATGCGCGCGTTGACCATGAAAAGGCTCGGTATCGAGATCGGCGTTGGTAGTTCGGAGGTTCTGAAGGATATGTCAACGAGCATTTTTTGAAGAGCAGCAGTCAGGCATCTACATGGCTTTCAAAGGAACCTTTGATGGTTTGGCGGGTTTCTTGCGGCAACGGCAATTGGCCATTGCTATGTTAAGTTCCCCAAAGAAGCTGCGAACATGCAACTTCGAAGCCCAGCGTTGCTAGTCAGAGCTTAGTGAGTGGATCGAATACAGCTGAACATGGTCCCTATGCAGCTGCAGCCACAGCCGCCACAGGCGGCGCCAGCAGCAGCAGCAGCCCCGCCGCGGCCGCTGCCACCTGCACCCACCAGGTAGCACCCCGCCATCAGCACCAGCACCCCGCCACCAGAATGACACCGGCACCGGCCCTGGCACCGGCACCGGCAGTCGCCGCCACCACCGCCACTAGAACAGCCCAAAATTGCATGGCTTAACCAGACTCCGAGTCGTGCCAAACAGATACCTAACAAGGAATCTTGGCGTTTTTGTGGACGCAAGGTGAAAGCACTCTTGCACATTGACGGTACCAACTGTCCATGTACACCCCTGCATGAAAAAAGTTGAAATAGTGCGTGCATTCTGCATGACAAGCTTCGAGCTAAGTCGCAAAGGATTCAAACAAGTGGAGTGCCGATAGCGCTTGTCATGACCTAATGCGGCACTGGTCAAGCACCCAATTACCCAATTGGTTGCGGTCCATGTTTTGAGGACAAGCTGGTGTTGAGGCTAGCCCCAAGATTCTGGAATTCCAGCACTGTAAGCCCCAAGGTCCTAAAGCTTGAAATCTACAAGCTTGATATCTCCAAATGGAAGAAGGCTCCGATCTCTAGGTTATCATGAGGATTTGCTACCATGTAGTTCTGCCATGACATCCCAAAAATCTTGTGATTCTGCGAAACCCTAGAGCGAGATTTTGAAGACTGCAACGCGCTGTACTAAACCAAGAATCCAAAGCTTCATGCTTCGGGTGACGTAGGCGGTCAAACAAACATTAAGTGACGGGGCCTCATACTGTTGGCATGCACCCTGTCAGAAGGGCGACAGCTGGCCTTAAACGTCGGACCAGTACTCCAAAACTCATCTACACCGCAATCCTCACCCTGTAGTGGGCGTTGTTGGAGGCATACCTCCTACATCCGAGTTGTCTGCATGGTGATGAAGGCTCCGGTAGATCTTTTGGCGCTTGCAGACTCAGAGCATCAATCAGGTGCAGAGCTTCAAGTTTTTGGACTTTGCGCATGTTGTGTGACATATTATTTGAACTTACGGCATCTTCTTGTATGGCAGATGACTGGAAAAAAGAAACCTCTGCAGCCATTGCAAATGCGAACACCTGCCCTTCTCGCCTGGAGCGAGCTGAGCATTCTAACTCCCAAGCCCCCATTCGAAGTACTTGTAAGGATCTCAGGCACTGAGCTTTGACTTCCCCAGATATCTGCAGGCTCACTCAATGGAAGGCTTGCTGGCTGTGGGCCTGCCCAGCCAGGTTCTCAGCTTCGTGTCGTTAAATCAGTTTTGGTCCAGCGCAATCAGCGCTTGGGACGTCCAGCAAATGATTATAGGGTAACTATTGGGATATATTGGGATACTGGAAAAGAAAATGGAAACTACTATACTATAACAGGGTATATATTCGGGTTCTAGAGGGATAATGGAAAAGAACATGGAAACTATCAATTCTTTTGGGTTTAGGGTCCTGAATCATGAGCCCCCTGAGCCTGGATAATATGGAGTAACAGGGTTTGATAGCAAAAGGAACAGGCCCTAAGTAACAATAATTACAGTAATAATATATAGTATGATATAGTAATATAGTATGATAGAAATATGTAGTATTACGGTAATATAGTAATAGTAATAGTTGGCTTTCAATATGACAAAATCAAAGTGCAAGGACAAGACATCATCTGCTTCGATAGCGCACCGCGGATGCAAAGCTGCTTTCAGCGGGCGATGCAGCCGTGCGTAATGATCTGCCAGAGTTACTTTATGTGTGATTCACAAAGTGGAGCTTTATAGGTAGGGGAGGGGGCTTCAGGCATCTAATTTTTCTTGGGGGTACATGGGTGGTATCGTGGGCAGGGCGCAGTGTCAGATGTAATAAGCTCACACTTCAGCTACAGAAAGAAGTTTCAACCGAGAAAAAATGTTCGAACCTAACTCAGAATGCTGCATATCTGATGTACACGCACCATTCCTTCTATGCAAAGATGCACGAGCCACAAACAACTATTAAATCCTTTTTCTATAGCTCCCTGATTAGCATCTGACACCCCAAGCTTGTGCCTGAATTATGCACTTTCTTGACCGGAGACTGGCAGACTGGTCCACGATTATGCTGTCTGTACCTTCCACACCCGGATTTGCAAAAGCCTGGAAGACCAGGTGCTGCAGGGCCTCATCGGAAAGGCTGCAGAGGTACAGGGTTACCTGCCGCTTCCAGCCAGCTTGCTCAAGACCTCGAAGGCACCGGGTTCTGGGATGGCCCGGGATGGCTGGCCGTTTCAGGTTCAGGGCTTGCTGATCAAAGCGGTTATAATTTTGGCTCCTCTGAGGTTGGACTATGGCACCAAAAGCCGGGGATAGGGCCTGTGTGAGAATTCGCGCGTGGGGGGTTTTGGGATCAGTGTTCCACAGCATTTCTGGTTGTGTTCCGGCGTGCATAGGATCCAGGAACCTTTACCCTAAACTCTTTCAGGTTCATGCCCTTCAGCCCCAAATGCAGATTTTGCAAAACTGTGCCTACCCAGATGCTCCAGAGTCCCAAGATAAGTGTTCCATGTGTCTAGACAGGTGGCGGCCCACAAAATCGAAACTACCAGACCTTCGGAATTTCACTAGAACACTGCAATGCACCTTGTTCCCCATAACCCATGCTTCCGTCGCCAGAGGCGCTGTCCAACGCCGAGCCTTTTGGCATTGTCAGATACGGGTGTGCGGTCGGAAAGCCTACCCTAAGAGTCCAAGGACCCAAATAACCGGGTTTAGGGCCCAAATGCTTCGATATTCATGGTATTTGGGCCCTAAAGCCCTGTTACTTGGGTCCTTGGACCCTTAGGGTTAGGATTGGGGTCCAAGAGTTGCTGCATTTTGCTTGGGGTACTCTAATGGTTCAGCAGTCACAGCTGTTCATGAGGGTGTTTAATCCTTCCCCCTAGTAGAAAACCCCCACAGTATACAACACGGATTACCCAGAATTCACAAATCTGAAATCTGCACCCAAGACTACTTGTTTTTAAAAAAGGCCAAGACTAACGTTAACTAGGGCTCGCATCCTCTGAATTACGGGGCTAGCACGACTCTAAGGATTAGGGGCCGCCTTGATTTCCAAGATTTCGATTGCTTTTTGAATGGTTTTTATACACGAGTTTATAAAAGTCTGAATTTAGGATATAAGACCGTTATAAAAGTCTGAATTTGGGATATAAGACCGACAAATCCCCCGATATAAAATACGGGTTGGCATATATGCGTTGGGGTGAGGTTGTATATTACTGGGGAAAGGATATAGTCAAAACATGTTATACGCAGGAAGCGAGTTCGTACTGACTGATGCAACTGTTGCGCGTCGCAGCATTTCATAGGCACACAAGACACCTTTTGCCTCTACGTCTTCAGCAGCCATAGCCCTTCTCTGTGCAGGAAGTCATGCTGTATAGCGCTGTGCCGCCACAATGTCAGGGGAAGTATCACATTTGTTCATCGCCTTTGGTTGAGTGTTCCGTCGCTTGACAGTCCGAACCAGCAAGCTGCAAATGCTCCAGCCAAGGATCACAAAGAAGGGACATATTTGGGCAGAGGACTATGCCATGAGTTTAGGCCTCTCCCTTTTCGATGCTGCTTGGGTTAATGGATTAGCATGGGGACGGACGCCCCAGGGTCAGGGTCTGGTACTGTATCCAATGTTGAGAATTGGGCCCAGGGTTGAAGATGTAGGGTTTGGGATTCGGAGCTGAGGGTTTGTGCTCAGATGCTTAATGGTAGCTGGTCATCTCAGCATGTGCAGGAAACAGTTCCTAATGGCACTTAGCCTTCCAAAGGGAGCAAGACAGATAGCAATCATGCAACCCAATGTTCCAGGACAGCCCAGATTGCCTCAAACTTAATTTCAGGCCGTACCCCAAGCCAAAGAGATGCAAAGCAGCGCCCAACCCTTTACCACAGCCCTACGACCCTGAACACAAGATTGCCAAGATGCCTCTGCCGTCATCCTACAAGACGGTGCCCTTCTGTGAGGCAAGTCAGCCCTTGTGGATGAATCTGCTGCTGCAACGTGTGAACCAGCTTTTCTAACTTAAGCCCTTGTGAGTCAAGCATCAGATCTTAGAGGGGGGCACTCACGCTCGAGGGGGAGCGCAGAGTGTTGAGCACATGCTGCCCTGTAAGAGTCCCTTTTTAAACTCAGGATTCTTATCAAAGAGCTACAGGCCGGAGGTTCAGTGGCTCGCGGTGTTGATGTTCCTACATGTAGATAAGATTTGACGAATAATTTTGCGAGAAACCACCTTTGCAAGGCGATGCGAGCTTCAGGCCCTTGGAATACCGGCAGTTGACAACATTTTACCAATCTTGATGAGTAGCTCTTTGTACTTGCCGTGCAGCGCCAGGCCTCCCACAAAGCGTATAGGCAGTGCTAACCACAGCCTGAAACAGCCAATTCAAAGGTTGCTGCTTTTGCGTTATCAGCCTGCCTCCACTTTCTGCACGAGGCCCAAAGTCCATGTCAACAGACTTCCCCCTCTACCCAGAAACCGTTGCTTTTCAACATCAGCCAACCCGCCCTGCGGGGTGGCTCCGCAGGTGGCCACGGACATTTGCGAGCGAAGCGGCTCCAAGGCCAGGGTGTTAACGGAGGGTACATGGAGTCGGGGGCGGGCTTGGGGATACTTTGGCTTTTAGGGCTTGGAAAGTTTGCGGTGGAAAGTTGACAGGGGGAGGAGTGGGAGAGTACCCTACGTCACGTCCGGACACACTCCCTGCCAAGCAAGGCTTTTCATTGGTCGCGCTGGAGTAGGAACTTGTGTTGCCTGGATGAGGCCTTCCTTATCGGCCTGGCAGAGGAGGCTTTGTACCCCACCGACTCGACAGACACTTCGGCGCACAACTGCGGCGGGTTTTGGAACGACTTGGGGTGTTGGAAGGGTAAGCGTGGGGGCATGCAGGGTTTTGGGTCTTGGGTGCCGCTGCCATGCACAACGTCGGTCCTAGCTTCCAGGAAGTTGTGGTTGTTCTTGATGCCTTCCTGAAATTATTCCGAGTCCCAACCTCCACTCCCCTCCCATCGATTCAGGAATTCGTGCTTTTCCCGAACAAGTACTACCGCGTGGGATTGCAGAAAGACCGGGAGGTCAAGGCCCAGCTTTGCCTTCGGTTCAGGGGCTCCAGACAGATTTCCAGAAGCCCATCACAGATATGATGCGTTTGTACCTTATATCATGTTATAGCATTCATCAGCCAGAGCCCGACTGTATACTGTTAGAGCCTAAATATATGTGTGGAGGCTGAGTCTTTGTAACCCAAAGCCTCCAAAACAAATTGGGGGATCTAGGAGCTCCACTCGCCCCAACTGCCATCAATAAGGAAAGGGATGCGAGCTTGTTCTGGCCTCATCAGACACCAACCCGAAGGTCAGGACATCTTCGAAAGACTTCTGGGTCATCTACGAAGTACCAGCGCCATCCGCGTAAGCCTTCAGCTCTTCAAGCCAGCGCTGGTACTGTAGCCCTAGTTCCTTCGGCCTGCAAAGCATCTGTCAACCCAGCAAAATAGACGCCCTGAGCCTGAAGTCATAGAGTTAACATTTGGACGTTACGGTCTAAGCCTGTAAACCCTGAAACACATAACATCAAGAAGTATCAAAGAAGTGATAATTGCGTCAGGGCCTCATCTTGGCGAGGGCGAAGGAGCTCAACGTTCAGCTTGTCTTGGCATTCTGCCCATGTCCTGAGTCTTGAGACTTATAGTCATCATGCCAGGCCAAGTTGAGCAGTGAGTATTCCTGGCTATGATTTCTTCGTATTGACGCGTGACATTGCGCAAGGAGTAGAAGTATCAATGGTAGATGCTGGTGCGGGGGACATGCATACCATGATAGGAATGCAGCTGTAGGGATCACGGTCACTGATGACTCTGACTGCCCTCCTAGTCTTTGCTGCCTATGCAAGGTCAAGGGAAGGTGAGGGTCCTTTAAGCTCAGCACTCTTTGACTTCAGGATGTTTGGGCCTTCGCCCTTCCAAGCAGAGTCAGCTCACTATTTGCCCAACATACGTTTTTTTCAAAGAATGCGACGGCACAAGAGCCCGGCACCAGAACACCTGAAGCAAGTGCCTCTCAGACACGCACGCAACCTGGAGCAGCAGTTACTTGGCAGCCTACAGCCTGGAACCTCAAGCACGCTGTTGCCGTATGCCTACTTGAAGGCGACAAGAAAGCTTTACCGCCACCGAAGCCTGAAACTCTGATCAACAGGAGGATATCAAAATGGCTTTGCCCGGACGCGCCATCCGATGGTCCCCGGACCAATGGGTCAGCAACACCGCGCAGGCCTGGTCTCCTTGCAGGGGACAACTGAAGTCATCATCATTTTTAGGTTATGTCCTGGTTTAACTAGAGAAGCGCAAACGCTCACGATCATAACAGTGCACGTCTCCTTGCAGTTTTGCTACATTTTTGAAATTTGTTCTCTGCTGCCATTGGGCTTCGGGATGCTATAGGAAAACCTGTATAGGCTTCCTCAGTCCCATGAGCAGTCCTTGCCTTCTGCACATGCCACTGCGAAGGCACGCTTCTAGAGCAGCGCTTCAAACAAAGGTAATTTAGAAGGCCGTTTGTTATGACTTCCGTAGCCAAAAGGCCTCGCCAAATCCATGCTTCCAGGATCCGGTAGCTTGCATGTGCCCGCGGTTACATGTGGAAACAGGTGTTTGTTATGACTTCTGCTTTTGAGTCCGAACGGGCAGTTCCTTGCAGGAGTGCTAACAAAACTGCCTTTGTTATGACTTCGGTGTTCACCTGTAGCCTCTTGATTTCCTCTCATAGTGCCCAACATCGGCTGCATGGTAAGTACGTGGAACCAACACGCAGAAAGAAGCCTCCCCTCCCGTGAGGACTGAAAGGCTCTCTCGACTATGAACTTGAGAATGCGCTGTAACGCACAATACGACAGGTCGTGCCATCATCCACGGGCTCTGAGTGGGATATCTGACTTATATTAGAGGCGCGTAAGCCCAAAGTCGACTCCACAGGCTTACCACCCAAGACTGCTGACCAGGTGCAGGTGAATCCTCACCTCTCCACATTGAAGGCGGTTGCTTGCCTGATTCAGCAGCGTTCTTTCCTTCTTCGCTGCTGCTGTGTCATTATGCCAAAGTTCAGCTGGAGCAAGGTTAATATTGATATTAGGGTGTTTGGTAGGAGGTATGCTGATAATTACTACGCGCTCTCTCTTTAGAATCCCGGCGGCCCATGTCATCCTTTCAAGAAGAGATCCAAGCTATGAGTGAAATGCATGGGCTTGAGTCACGTTTTGAAGGGGGCAAGGGATGGAACCATGTGCGTCTCACATTGAAGTGCCTGGGAAGGTGCT